AGGCAGGACCCTGCAGCAAAGCCTCAGCTTGGTTGGCAGCAGTCATGTAAGCAATCATCAGGGAAGGTAGCCGCAGGGCTTTAAGCCAGGAATAAGTTATGCCGGAAATGACGGAAGCATGTGGATACCTTCCTGCTGGGTGTTCTGCAAACCTCCCTCGCTTGGTCTCTCCCCAGAAGGGTCTATGTAGCAGAGCATCGTCTTCCACAGACCAGGCCCTGCGTGTGCACACCTGTGCCGTTTGTTTTTCAGACCCTTCATCTTGAGTTAGACAAGGCACCAGCAGAGACGCCGGCACCCGGTCAGCTCCCTGATGCGATGTCAACCGCCCCTTCCTGAAGCAGATGGTACCGTAGGAACAGCGTGGGGCTGAAGGGGGTAGGTAATACAGGCAGTGTTGGCTGGTGGCCCCTGAGTAGGGCTGCATTCCTGGGGCCGGCCCTGCGTGTCATTCCATAGCGCGGCCACTGGATGTTGGCATTTACCCACCTGACAGCCGCCGGGACCTTTCCTCTCCTGCAGGATCTGCATTTGTAACTTCACGCCGGGCAAAGTATTTCTACGACAGGGAAACGACCCCTTCGTCCTCCTCTGACAACAAGGGGGATTATAGAGAGAAGCTCCTGTTAGCTGATCCACGTGATAAACAAATGAAAGAGGTTAGGAACCACAGCAAATGAGGGAAAACCAAAGGCTATGCTTTTTTGGTTGCTTCCCAGATGTCCCTGAATATCGAAGGGCAATTTTGTGCTGGGTTCAGTCTTTCCTGACTGCAGGTTACAGCCAGGAGATGTGATCCCATTCTCACTCTTCCCTTACACCTGGTCTGGTGGTGACACAGATGTGAGTTGAGATTGTTGTCAGGGAGGACAAGCTAGAAAAGAAAACAGAATGAACTGGTCTTTCAAACAGGAGGAATCCATCATAAAACTGCAGGGCCTCTACATTCTGTGCACAGGAAGTGGTGAAACAGCCCCTGGCGGAAGGAGCTGCCAGTTGAACTGGTTAAGCACAGAACTGCAGCCCGAGTCACCCTCACCCCTTCCCGCGCCACCACACTCTTGCTGCGACATACTTGGCTGCTGTTTATCCGTGCTGCGCTTCCTGACAGGCCAGTGCCGCGCTCCCATCCATCCCCCGACAAACCAACCCACTGCCAACCCACTGTATTCGTGTTCTTGGGCATTATGTAGCCAGCAGGTCGGGGGAGGGGATTCTCCCCCTCTACTCCCCTCTTGTGAGACCCCACCTGCAGTGCTGCATCCAGCTGTGGAGCCCTCAATATCAGAAGGATACAGACAGGTTGGAGCGAGTCCAGAGGAGGCCACGAAGATGCTCCGAGGGCTGGAGCACCTCTGCTATGGGGACAGGCTGAGAGAGTTGGGCTTGTTCAGCCTGGAGAAGAGAAGGCTCCGGGGAGACCTTATAGCACCTTCCAGTACCTGAAGGGGCTACAAGGAAGCTGGGGGGACTTTTGACTAGGGTTAACAAGTTTAAATTGAAGTTTGGAGGTTTAGATAAGATATCAGGAAGAAGTTCTTCCCAGACAGGGTGGTGAAGCACTGGAACAGGTTGCCCAGAGAAGCTGTGGATGCCCCATCCCTGGAAGTGTTCAAGGCCAGGCTGGATGAGGCTTTGAGCAACCTGGTCTAGTGGAAGGTGTCCCTGCCCATGGCAGGGGGGTTGGAACCAGATGGTGTTTAAGGTCCCTTCCAAAGCATGCTGTGATTCTATTCTTACTAAAACCTACAAGGTTTTCGAAGGTAGAACATGACAGAGTAAAACTAGTCTTTGTCTTGATTATATCCACCTCAGAGCTGCAGCCCTGCTGTACAGAACACAAACAGCTACATCGCTCATTTTGGGGTAACACTGTGCCCAAGAAAACCAGAACAAGCTGGTAAAACTTCCTTTTGGATTCCAAGATGTCCCATGCCAGCATCATGTCATAATAGATTGTGTGTAGACCAGATGATCTTAAGATTTCAATTGCCTTGAATTTGTATCTCAAAATACTAATTGAGTCCCTCTCTCACTGGGCCTACAAGGAATCTGGGCGGGTCAACCTAAGAAAACCCTAACAAGAAAGAGGCAGCATAAGAAATACCTGTCTGTCAGACAGGTAATGCAGCACCTGATGCAGGAATAGGTAGTTCTGATAGAACTACCAGTACATAGACTGATATGTCTTAGTACTGGGGATGTGGTGACTGTTTAGAGCCCTTCTGTGTTCTTAAAGCAGCAGTTCTCTCCCCCTGAAACAAAAGGACCCGTTTCTGTTGGAGCAGCACAGTCGAGCTCGGCTCTGAGAACACCTGCAGTCTGTACAGGAGTTTCCATTCGCTGCAACCCAACTTCCCTCTCTACCGCACGCGCAAGCGTACAGAACAGTGTGAGGGTCGGGGGAAGTACTCCCTCATACACGACTCAGTCCTCTTCGAAGCGTGTGTATGTTTAAAACCCCTCAGTCTATTTTGCCAGCAGTTTCAAAAGAAAAAAAAAAAATGAGCACAAGCTGTTATTTTGAGCAAGTTTATCCACTTAAGACCTTCTCCATTAAAAGCACTTTCACTCTGTGTGGCTCTTCCTCCCACCAGTATTTTCTTTTGCTTTTTGACCTTGATTCAGTGGTAAGATCCATGAACATGGAAGTCTCAACACGGTCCTCAGCTTCGTTTCACACGTTTGGCTTGAAAAGTCCAGGATAGCCTCTGCAAGTGTATCCAGAAGAGTTTATGAACTTATTATCTCAATCCTATTTTGAATTAGCAGAAAACAAACACTGAACTTGGGTTTTTTTTAATTATCCTGACAAGGAAAAAAACAAAAGGGCCAGCTACAGTAAGAGCTTTGCTCTACGTTTACTCCATGTACTTGGAGTTGGAATCCATTTGAGATACTTCCCTGTATCAGTCTCATTCTGGGTCGTAGTGATCATTATTTGACTTCATACATGTTCCTTGCACCTCTTACCTAAATAAACTTGTGGATCAGCAGTTGATCTGCGCTGACCCCAAGTGTCACACACATTACACTGAGTCAGGAGTGTCTGCACTTGATCAAGTTGTCAAACACCTCTTTCTGTTCGCTCTAACGCGTTGTTCAGAGGTCCCTCACTGTAGCCTAACGTGTCTTTCAAAGATCCCTCGCTGCAGCCTAACTCCATCTTTATACAGTGGCTTTGCATTTCAAAGAACTTTGTCTTTACCAAAACGAGTGTGAAACCAGCCACCTCAGTTCTACAGTTTTCTCCAATTCCTTAGATTTATTGCCTAAATGTACTCAGAAGAAAGCACTCACAGGTGCTTTGACTGCCACGAAGCAGAATTACCGACAAACCAGTAAAACTCTACCTTCACTCATTACTTGGGAAGGTGGGAGGGTTCAAAACGCCGTCAGTTAGAACGTTCGTTCCCCATGGTAACGGCAGTGGGACACCATGCCAAAGTTACTGAGTCACAGCCACCGGAGCTGTTCTGGCAGCTGGACAGCAGGCAGGGCTGTACATCTCTAAATGTGTTAGAGCAGAGTTGTAGCTCCTCCAAATTAAATTAAACTTAACCAAATTTGTGAAGTAGCCATACCTGTTCTCTTTGTTACTGTAATCGGTGAAATCACTTTCATATCTTGTAGGTGCTCCTGCCTTCGTCTCCATTTCCTTGGCTTTAGAAGGGTCTGCTTTATGGTTATACTTGGACAGAATCTAGAGGAAACATTGAAAGGGAGTAAGAAGAGTTATCTGAGAACTCAAACAGGATTACATCTTATACCCTTCTAGCAAGGAGCAGAGAACGCTTTTGTTTGGAACAAAGAATTTGATAGACCTAAGCCCTTTTAATTTTACTGTGTTGATATTAGAACTATTTAGGGAGAGAAAAAACAAGTCAATTAGCTAACCTGCAGAACATCATCCGGTATCCTTGTTATTTCTGGAGGTGGAGGAGTACTGAGTAACTGGTCATACTGTTTTATTTTTGGAGGAGAAGGGTCTCCAAAATGTTTCAGATACTCATCAGAGCTCACAGCGAAACGAACGCTGTCTTCTGTGTATTGTCTGTCTGTTGCGCTGTTCTTCGTCACCGACTCGATCTTCTCCTCCTGCTTTACCGGCTGCAAAAGGGGCATTAAATGCCTTTGGTTAATTTACTTAAGTATTTATTAATTGTTCTTAAAGGGCGTAAGAGCAAGTAGTACAGGAGAATCCCAATCTGACATCTGAAAACCTGCTTAAGGTAAAAAGTGTGGGAAAATGTACATAATCGCTATTTACTACCTTAGCTTCTGGTTTTAGCCATCTCGTTTGGAACTCTGGAACCTGTGGTGTTCCCGCCTGGCTGGTGCTCCTGGGAAGAGGCAGCTCACTTGTCCCCGGTGACCTTGGCAATACGGTACTAGTTGTGGTGGGAGGGGTTTTCACTTTGGGAGTACAGAACACAAGGATCATAGGAGAGGCCATCCAGCCAGCTGCTGAAATTAAGGAGGAGGTGTAACAATCTAAATACACACACACACACCCCTCATCGGTTCCAGTGCCCCAGTTCAGCTTTTCATAGATTTGCATATTCTAAGACACACATATTCCAGCTGGTATTTCTAGCATGAACCGTCCAAATTAGACTTCCATGAAGCAGCAACTGCCAAAAGTAGTAATACATCTAGTCCCACCACTGCCCTTAACTGAAAAAGCCCAACTCTAACCAACACCGGTTTAGCTTCTCGTACATTCAGCTGTCACCGTGTTTGTTCCAAGACCTTCGCACACTTCCAAGGGAAGGTACTACATCTCCTCTGAAAGGCGTTTTAGCACCACCCTCGACAGGTCAAAGTTGTGTCTCGTTAGCCTCTTCCAAGGCAGTTTCTTTCCTGCATTTAAACAGTTCTAGCGGGTGTTCTCAGAAAAAAGGCTAAGTTGGTAAACCAGCATTTTTATTTCAAGTAAGTTGTAGTTAACAACATACATAATTCCAGATAGGAGTAGAAGAACGAGCAAAGATTTATACTGAAGGGACAGACTTCCCCACCGAAGTCATCAATGTCTCATTTTCTAGACCTTAGTACTTGTACAATGACTGGGCCCGAATTACATGTATTTAAGAAGAAACACAGTTTAACAGTTGACTACGCGTTTTCGATGCATTTGCACCTGCATTATGTAAAGAACGTATATTTGCTTCCCATATTTTCACCTTACCGTTCTCAGCTGTCGCTTTTGGTTTTGGCGCAGGAGTAACCACCATCTCCCTGGCTGCCATTTCTGGTACGTTCACTTCACCATCATCTTTTTTAACCAACCTGAAAACCAAACCCCTCGGTGAGCTCACAGGTAACACCAAGAAGCCACAGTTAAAGGAATACTGTCGCTTTCCCAGTGTTTGGCCATCAACGTGCAAATCAAAAATTCATTGCCTCAAAGACTTTTTTTTCCATAGATTTTTCACCTGTGAGTCTATTGCAACAGTTCGTAGCATGCATGTGTTCGGTCCATCCACAAGTTATCAAATGCACTGAGATTTTAATCCAAGGCATAAAAACCCCTCAAACAAGCCAAACAAACAAAGGTGTCCAGGGTAGGATCAATTTTCTTTGCCCCAGGTGATCAATTTTATGTGTTGGGGTAGCGCCTGCTTCAGTTTGAGTTGTCTGCTGCCTACAGAATTCTAAACAAGAGGACTTTCTTTTGAATCTTAACCTACAAATCATAGAATCACAGGATGGTTTGGGTTGGAAGGGACCTTACAGACCATCAAGTTCCACCCCCCCTGCCATGGGCAGGGACACCTTCCACTAGACCAGGTTGCTCAAAGCCTCATCCAGCCTGACCTTGAACACTTCCAGGGATGGGGCATCCACAGCTTCTCTGGGCAACCTGTTCTAGTGCATCACCACCCTCTCCGGGAAGAACTTTTTCTTATAAAATCTAAACCTCCCCACCTTCAGTTTAAACCCATTACCCCTTGTCCTATCACTACAGGCCCTTGTAAAAAGTCCCCCCCAGCTTCCTTGTAGCCCCTTCAGATTATTGTGAACACTAAAAGGTTTTAAAGTCTGAACAAGGTTACTTATGTTCATCACTGGTTGACTTCCAAGTGAAAAGCCATTTAAGATCAATTCCACAAAACTAGAAACTGACACTTTCGAAGTTCTTTTTTCACTGTCCAGGATAGTGTGATGGAATAAGTGTGTGGGCATTGAAGAGATGGCACCAGACAAAAAACTTACCTGAACTCTACACAAAAGAGTCTCTAAGAAAATTATTTTAAATGTTTGAAAAGTTATCGTAACTGAGAACCAGATACAGAGCTTCTCCATGAGCCTAAGCTTAAAAACCAAAAAATAGCCAGTTGAGGCAGTATATTTTACTTAGATGAACACATCACAGGTTTTGAGGTTAAAACCCAGTTATTTTTTAAGTCAGTTTTGCCTTGGAAATGTTATAGGCACCTGAAACCCTGTGATTTTTAGTTTTTACAATAAATCATAGAATCAGAGTCACAGAGTGGTTTGGGTTGGAAGGGACCTTAAAGACGATCTAGTTCCAACCCCCCTGCCATGGGCAGGGACACCTTCCACTAGACCAGGTTGCTCAAAGCCTCATCCAGCCTGGCCTTGAACACTTCCAGGGATGGGGCATCCACAGCTTCTCTGGGCAACCTATTCCAGGGCCTCACCATCCTCTCCGGGAAGAACTTTTTCTTATTATCAAATCTAAACCTCCCCGCCTTCAGTT